GGCTTCGGGTTGCAGGTGTCTTGCGGATTACGGTATTGTAGGGTTTACTTTGGGGCTTGTCTGTGAGGTTTACCCCGATCAACATCCTTACGATGTGCTTCTGCAGGTAGCTGTCAGAATGCTTCAGAAAGCGGGAAACAGTTTCCATCGATTCCTCCAGAAGCGCCTTGGCTGCCTCTTGGGTTATCCACAAGCCCTGTCCCTCCTCCTTCGTCTCTTCCTCTCTGAACGGTTTGCACCTCGATACAAAGCCTCCAACCCCAGCACAACACTCTAAAGCCCAACAAGCAACACCCAACAGCCACGACACTCAAAACTCCCGGATTCCATCACTGAGACCTCGAGCCTCACGCAACCGAAGCCCCTCGAACCTTCACAAGCGAAACCTGGAACCCGAAGACTCCGAATCCGAATCCCCGAACCCCCCCCCCCCGTGCCTTGGACGCTTAGCGTCCATTTGACGCAATAGTGTTTTTACAAGGAAAATCATACATTTCTGGCGTGCAGTGTGCAGTTTATTTAAGCCTGCACATCTAGGTTGCGGATGCGTGAGTCGTGGACGTGACACTCTCTTTTGTCAGCGGTTCAAGCGTGCTGGCAGCATGCGGAAAGCAGACCATGTACCGCGACAGCAACACACATTGTGAATAAAGCCAAATGTCAATCACTGACGTTTCGGTTTCAAAACATCAGAAGCTGCTTGTCCAAGAAGGGCTTGGTTTTGGACAGCAAGCGGAATGGTGGCAGGCTGGGGGACATGAGCACGAGATGCTGAGTCGTGTGACGGTTTGTCTATGTTCGCATTGCAGGCATGTCGACACAAGACATGGAAGCGGCTCTCGAAGCAGAGATGGAAGGCCAGGCAGAACGTTCTGAAGTGATGGACATGGCAAGGAGAAGTTTGTTGTACACATACACATGTCATGACATGAACAGAAAGTTGTACATGTAAGCACACCCTACACGCCATGCTTGCTGCGCAGATTAGCGGATGCAAGAAAATTTCAAATACTTAAAAACACATCCTGTAGTACAGTGTGCATCTAACATGTATGAGCTGTTTCATGTTAGACGACATTGTGTGAATGATGTGTTGAGCGGTCGGTGTAACTTTATCTATGTTTCTCTTTACTGCTGTGGTTGGTATGTTTGTATGTATACAGGTGGTAGCTCGTACGACGACGTGACAGTGCCCATGATTTTGCATTGGTCAAGAATATCAGTAGATACGATTGTGATCATCTAGGATTCAACATGTTGTACGTGTTTGTGCTCATACTGTTGCCCGAGCTGTGCACCCTACTTGCTTGAGGACGGGTTGCAAGATTCGTTGCGGAAGATGTATTTGTAGAAACTTCAGTCATGCAAGTACCCTCAGGGTGCGTTGCGCGCAAATCCTGGGGAGGGCCTCGGGGGGAGGAGTTGATTCCAGAGATTGTGTTGTGAGCGAATTCAGTTCACGACTGAACTGGGGCATCCTGGGGCTGGGTGGCGAGGGATGCTGTGGCCTTGGCTCTTGATGCTTCTGATGCCACAAACAACGCTGTTGATGCCGCAGGCCCGTATTTGCCTTGCGTATTTTGGTTCTTGGCTAGAAATTTCCCGTATGCAGACCGCAGATTTCCCCAATCCTTATTAATATGAATAAATACGTGAAGCTTGCGGGCCAGGGTAGGGGGCCGCAGGCTCTAAGGGTGCTGGGGCTTCCGCCCTCTTTCAGTTCGCCTCGTCCAATGCCCAATCCCAGAGACTACAGTGAGTCGACGGAGACCTGAATTGAACACTCGTGTTTTGTTAGGTGTACGAGGACCCTACATCCGTATCGCCAGTCGGTGGCGTGACCCCATGGGTCGTCTGACCTGAATGGAACACTTGTGTTTTGTTACGTGACCGGGGACCCCACGATCGTAACGCCAGTCGGTGGTGTGGCCCCATGGATTCTCGAATGCATCGAACGCTCGTGTTTTGTTGTACGTGTACAACGCCAGTCAGTGGTGTGACCCCATGGATCGTCGGCTGGCATGAATCGAACGCTCCGGCGCTGACACCTCCGGATGCTTCGGTACATACTTGTAGGCGTGCTTGTGTTGGCTCAAACCCTGCCTCCCAACCCGCCCCCCGCCCCCCCGGTTTCTAGGGTTGCGGTTTGCGTGTGGGGGTGGTTTCGTTTCAGGGTTTTTTCAGGGTGGTTTAGGACATACGTGCCGAGGTCCCCAAATTTTAGGGGAAACCCGGTCTAGGGTTTAGGGTGCCTGGCACTCCTAGACAGGAGACGGCGGGCACGTAGGGTTTAGGGCCCAGCGTTTAGTTCTATCTTGTATTCTTTAGGCCCCCGAATCAGGGGAAGCTGGGCTTAGGGTTTAGGTTAGTGCTAGGTTAGGTTGTTTCCCTCCCCACTGGGGGCCCCCACCCCCAAGCATAATGATGTCCATGTTCCGAGAAGACAGATCATCCATGGCCCAACCTTGATGACATCCACACTGGGTTTTCGCAGTTACTCCTGTGTATGTTTGTATCGTATGCTCGAAACTTTTGACCATATAGGTTACAGTTGACTATACCGTAGTTTGTATAGGCCTCGCAATGGCAAATGCATTATCGGTAGGGTGGGGATGTTCGAAGTAAAATAATTCATGCCACGATTTTGCGCAGCTGAGACGGGGAAGCTCTGCTGTATCTACATAAATAAAGTTGCACCGACTCAATGCCGTGTATCAGTTTCAAAGGTCCAAATAAACATACATACATGTTACATATCATAGAAGTAAGTGAGTATGTATGTATGTGCATATATACATACGTATGGATGTAGGTATTAGGGATTCTAGATACGAGACACAGCATACATACATGCAGATATGCACACGGATAGATGTACATATATGCACATATGTGTATTTTTTGATTCTTTATATATACACACACACAAGTAAACACATGTACATATAAGCATGTCTGTTGCGGTTCTTCTTTCAACTTGCTTACAGCTGTTGCTTTGTGTGCCGTCGTCTTCTGGGAGATTGTCACAGCTTCCGTCCAGGTTTCTCATAGTCCCCCACTTTCTCACTCACAAACTTTGTTGCACTTGAGACTTTTCTCCAAGCCATCACAATCTGCGTTGAGTGGGTACTCAGCAAGGCCGCTCGTCAGCTGTAGCTAACATTCCAGAACATGCTCTCGCTTGAAACATGTTGGTGTACAGCTACCATGCGGATGTCGGCATGGTCGCCAAGTGGACTTCATCAGTGTTGGTCAAACAAAAGATGAGGAAAGTTTTGGGGTGACGGACCAGCGGATGTTACTAGTATGTCAAGAAAGCCCATTGTGTTTTTTGATGTCATCCTTGAGCGCAGAGGTTTAGGTTCCTCCATGTATTGACCAGTGTGTTAGAAGCCTGGAAACATGCGGCATGTTTACCGGAACTGGTGTCTTCAAGGAAGACTTTGGGCAAGTGACAGGGGGAAGACGTCAGCATGTCTAGTCTCGGGACACGGGTGTAGCCGTTGACTACATAAGTTCAATTCTTCAGCTCCAGGGGCCAAATTCATGCTGCTGTTGTGCTGGGAAAGGCATGGCAGAGGAACCAACGGAGATGGAGGCCTGGTTGAAACGTTTTGGAAGTGTGCGGGAAGATGCTAAGTTGAACCCAGCCATTCTTCAGCCGAGCATACCCGGATTTCAGCCGGCGCCTGCAAGCCAGTTGGGCGGAGCAGCTGCTTCGCAGGTCGAGGCAGAGGGCGGTGGTCAAAGTAGTTCCGCAGACGCGGGTGACTGCTTGCAGGGGTCGGACCGTACGCTAGAATCCTGGGTTCCGCACTGGCTTACGTTGGATTTTGGTGAGCCCAGCGTGGTACTCACTGCCGACGAACAAAGCCACTCCGTGACCATGGCGGACGAGATGCAAGTCTTCCGCAAGAAGGTGCGGCACTTGTGCTGAGGAGAAGCTGTGTGTC